TGATGCACGCAGTCCTGCCAAGTCTTCCAAAAGTTCATGCAAAATGCTTATTACGGCAAAATTATGCCTGGATTTCAACATGCTTTGTACCAAAATAAACTTCTACTAACTTGTTATAACACAAAAAGGCATTATAAAGGCATTACAAAGAAGAAGAAAATTGTTTGAAAAGACTCCCTACCTGAGCAACATGAATTATGCCAAAACTGAAGTAGAAATAAGCATCAAATTTATGACAAAGCTTGGGTAGAAAAATCATTGAGGAAAATCACGGATACTTTCAGAAAAGTTTAGAAGGGCAATATCCCAAAGAATTTAGCAGTTCACAAATGATTCATCCATTTAAAAAGGAAGACGATGTCATGCTTTTGCAAAGAAGAAATTAATACTGTTTGTGCCCCAAATGAGGAGGACTGATGTTTAACAGCAGCGATCACTGCCAATGCCAGAGGCATCTCAGCTGGTCCAGGTCACATAACCCAGACTGGAAAAAGAAAACTGAGTCAACCTTCAGCTTTAGAGGTACCAAAAGAGCTGTGCTCAAATTAGCCACACACAAAAGCAGACTTTCAAAGGAAATTCTAAACAAGTCAGGTTGTAATCAGGGACGAAATCTGTCTATAGCAGAGGAATCGTGAAGACAAAGAACAATCAAAGCACTGGTAGCAGAGGGAGAAGTGGCCAAAGCTAAAGCCAACCAGTCAACGGCACAGGTCAGCTGGCAATAGTGTTCTGGGACATTCCAGACACTATGCTTGTTAACTTTTTGGATGGTCAAAGTACAAGAAAGAACTGCTTCTTAAGAGACTGCTTTCAGAAAGTCAACCAGAGCTCTAGATCATTGTCCTTCAGCCTGACAATGTTCCTATTCATTCCTCTATCAAATGTGGGTAATTTTACAGGAGTTCCAATGGAAAATCATCAGGCATTCACTTTCAGCCTTGACATGGCTCCTTCTGACTTCCTTTTGTTTTCTAATCTTAACAATCTTCACAGCACACTTATTTCACATCAGTTAATAGTGTGAAAAGGACTACACTGACGATATTAAATTCCCAACATTAGCTCTTTACCAATGTCCTCAACAGATGGAATCATCACTTGTAAAAGTGAATCTGATAGAGCTTATGTTGAGAACTAATATCGTGTAAGTAGGAGACAGATAGCTACACGTGTGTATTATAATTTGAGACAAAGAAACAGAGAGAGCTCCCATCCACTGACTCATTCCTCAGATGTTCCTAACAGTTAGGAGTGGGCCAGGCCAAAGCTGGAAGCCTGGAATGCAATCCAGCTCTCCACATGAGTGGCAGGAACACAGGTACCTGAGCTGTCCCTGGCTGTCTCCCATGTGTACATCAGCCGGAAGCTGGGACTGGGAACAGAGCCAGGAGTCAAACCCCAGGCTCAGCGTATACAGGATGCAGGTGCCCCAACCGGCAGCTTAACGACTAGGTCAAAGAACAGCACTTAACTTTACAATTTTTTTATTTGCATCTTTCTTTTTAAATATTTATTTTCCTCTACCTAAAAGGCAGAGTGACAGAGAGAAAGAGATGGGGAAACATAAAGAGACCTTCCATCTGTTGATTAGCTCCTCAAATGCCAAGTTAGGGCTAGGCCAGGCCGAAGCCAGGGACAAGGAACTCTGTCTGGAGCCCCCACATGGATGGCAGGGGTGCGAGCGTTCAGCCATCATCTGCTGCCTCTCTGGAAGCAATCAGCAAGAAGGTGGACTGAAGCGGAGTACCTATAACTTAGACCAGCGCTCCAATATGACTTGTGAGCATTCCAAACAGCAGCTTTACTTGCTGCACCACACCACAACACCAGTCCCTTCTACTTAACTTTCATTAAATTAAAAAAAAAAAAACTTATTTATCTGAAAGGCAGAGTTGCACAGAGAGGAAAATGTAGAGAAAGAAATCTTCCATCAGCTGGTTCACTTCCCAAAAGTCTGCAAATGCCAGACCTGCACCAGACCAAGGCCAGGAGCATTATCTGGGTCTCTCCACAGGTATAGGGTGCCCTGCTGCTTCGCCAGGCTCATTAAGAGCAAGCTGGGTCAGAAGTGGAGTGGCTGAGACTCAGATCAGCATTCAAATGAGATTTCAGCCTCTCAAGCAGGGGCTTAACCAGCTATGCCAGAATGTGGGCTCCTTTAATTCCATTTCAACAAATATTTTCAAGATGCCTCTTAAATCTGTTAGTAAAGATGAAGAATATGCCAAAGACCACACCTTCTTAGGTCTAACAAAAGAGGAAAAGCTGTAATTTTATATACAGAAAGGATGTAATGAAGGCAGAAAAGGCACAAGGGATGGGAAAAGAAGGAAAGAGGCACAGGGGAATATGTGGGACACCATGGCCAGCCGACCAGCTCATTTAGGCCTTCAGAGGACTTCAGGTGCATTTCAGAAGACAGAACACAGAATCGGTTGACAACTCCCTGGCTGGGGTTTTGCACTAAGTGTCTGATTGCACTAAGTGAGTGAATGCACTAAGGCAGACTGTCAGCCAGTGGACCTGGAAAGATTTTCTCAGTCTTGGAGTAATGAAATCAACTGTTACAGAATTATCAAAATCACATGAGCAATACTCTCGGAACATTCTTCCGCACATCGGTGTTTCTAAGATGTCATCAAGTGGACATCCCCCATCCCCAGGCACTGGTATAGTTTGACAGATTAGAGCAGTCTCCTCACCTTCCCTCTCCTCCCCCACCATACAGTAAAAAGGGAAGAAAGGAACACTGGAAGATTTGACCTACCCACCTTCCCCCATTCCTGCATCCTCCCAACCATAGCCAGTGGTCCTCATGGACATGCATCCTTGTCAACTATGTAAACATCAAAAATAAAGTTATTGAGAACAAAAATGAAAGGAGGCAAACAGGTATGCAGGAAGTCAGAAGCCCAGCGACAGTTCCCATTAAAGTTTCACATCCAAACATCAACACATCCTTGCACTCGCACTCACACACAGGAGCTTTCAATTACAGTCACAGGAATTTTTTTCTTAATAGGTGGCACTTAATTTCTCAATGCATAACTAAAATGTAACAACAACACCAAAAACATTTTTTCTCAGAAGTATCAGTAATCTCACAAACATCAGTAAGTACAAAAAGGGAGATATCATTTCAAAATGCATCCTTTTCCTTTAAGAAATCTTCTCAGAATAACAAGTAACAGAAATTCATACCATATCTTTGATGAAACTAGGAAACAGCTGTGTCTCTGAACCACAATATTTTTTTAAAAAGTTTATTCATGTAAGTTCAAATGGGTGAAGGAGAAACAGAAGCTGCACCTGCAACTACAAACCCAAAGCGAAGTGCACAGAGGACGTTTCTCCCAGTAAACACTGCCTTGAAAAGGGACGGCCGGGGATGGGCCGGGGATGAGCCGGGACTAGCAGGCACTGACCCTTGCACTACCCATCTCCACAGGCCAGAAAGGAGGGAATGTGCAGACACAGCCTAACACCTTTTCTCCAGTGTTGTCTTCCCTTCTCCTCACTGAAAATGCCAGCTAAAGTTTCATCTCCTCATATAGCCTCTCAATACCTTCCCCAAGCTCTTTATACCTCTGCTACAAGCTCTCTGACCATCTGGCCAAATTCTGGCAATGTATGGAACAACATTAAGATTGTGAATGCTTCTATGTGAAGCAAAAGATAAACACAAGAAAGGACTTTAGATAGCTCTAAATGAAGAGTAGCTGCCATTACAAAAATAGTATTAATAATCAAAAACATACTGACCCAATTAACACTTGATGAATACTAACTAGGAAGCAGGCATCATCCTTGTTTCAGAAAGATGTTAAAAGAAGAACAAGGCTCAGTTGCTAAATCCTTGCCTTACTTGCACTGGGACCCCATGTGGGCACCAGTTCATGTCCCGTCTAATCAACTTCCCATCCAGCTCCCTGCCTGGAGCCTGAGAAAGCAGTCGAGGATGGCCTAAAACCTTAGTATCATACAGCTCAGTAGGAGACCTGGATGAAACTCCTGGCTCTTTGCTCCTGGCTCCTGGTTTCTGATCAGATCAGCTCTGGTCACTGTGGCCACCTGGGGAGTGAACCAACTGACAGATTTTTTTTTCTCTGTCTCTCCTTCTCTCTGTAAATCTGCATTTTGAAGAAAAATAAATGAATCTTTTTTTAAAAGGAATGAGGGAAGGAAGGAAAGAAAGGAGGGAGGGACGGAGGGAAGGAGAGAGGAAAGGAGGGAGGGACAGAGGGAGGAAGGAAAGCAAAGAGAAAAGAAGAACAAGGCTAACAGAATACTTAAGATGTCTATTCGCAAACACTTTACTATAGCAGGAATTGCTGCGTGGCATCTTGGCATCCAGTACGGATGCCAGTTCATGTGCTGGCTGCTCCAGTTTTGATCCAGTTCCCACCTAATCGTCTGGGAAAGGCAGCAGGAGATGGCCCCATATGTCTGGGTCCTTACACCATGTGAGAGAATTGGAAGAAGCCCCTGGCTCCTGGCTAAGGCCTGGCCCAGCCCTGCAGCTGTGGCTATCTGGGGAATGAACCAGCAAATGGAAGCTCTGTCTCTCCTCTCTGTCTTCCAAATAAATAAGTAAATCATAGAAAGCCAGTACCCTGTAAGAAATGAATAAGCACTATAAAGGCTAAGTAGAAAGAACCAAACTAGTCTGAAGAAATCAGGATTCCTTAAGAGAATTAAAATTTTTGAAACATTAGCAGATGATGAGAGAAAAAAATATCCACAAAAGGAATACCATAAACAAGTTTTCAAAAGGTACATGTAATGGAAGAAACAGCAAAGTATTTCCAGCAATCTTGTTTGGACAAACCAGGGAAGACATGTGGGCAAACAGAGCAAAGGCAGGATAGAAGATGGGAGGACTTGATTAATCCATCACTGGCAAACCACGGAAGCAACCCTAAGTAGAGACACTGTATGGCTGAAAACTTTCCTCTTATCCACATAAAGATGAGTGCTGATCATGCACGCCATCTTACTTGGGGCCGGCCGACATCACTGGACAGCTGTCTTCAGTGCAGAAGTCTGTGATAGTCCCATAGAGCATGTTGATCTGATTGAAGAAATCCACCGCTGCAAAGCAAGCACCAGTTGTGAAGCAAAACAGAATGTTTACAATGAAATTTTACTGAAGTGGAATCTTACGGTTATCAGTGTACTCTGCCCTGTGAAGAACAGGTGAAAGACACACACACAAGCACGACCCAGAATCTGGGAGTTTAGGCTTATCAAGTGACTCAATTAAGTGGACACAAACACAATGGGGAAAATTTTTTGTAACACATATAAACAACAAAAATCTTGTATCCAGAATGTACAAACAATTCCTAATGGAGGATATGGCAGTGGATCAGAATCTGCAGAGGACATCTGGCAACACTACAGAGGAGGGAGCACAGAACAAATTGATCAACTTCCACAGCCAAGTGTTGGCAGTGAATATCTGGGCAAACAGAGACCCTAAGGTGGACCATGTCAGTCAGTAGATTCTGGAGATTTCATTGTGCTTGGAGTGGTGAGATCGGTAGTAATTCACAATTGTTGAACTACTGAAATCTAACGAGTAGGACCCTCAGAGCACACCCCACGTCAGGGACCCTGAGTGGTGCTGGGTGGCTACCCTCCATTCCAGGGTGCAGAGGCATTTGGAAGGCTGGGTGTGGCTTCTCTTCCTGTCTCTCCTTTTCCCGCAGATACAGGAAGAAAAAAAAGAGAATGTGGGAATGGTGATCTCACCCAATTTCCTGTAGCCTTTGACCCTAATCACCCTCATCAACTATGTAAAAATCATCAAAAATAAGAATTAATAAATTTTTTTAAAGATTTATTTATTTTTACTGCTAAGTCAGATATACAGAGAGGAAGAGAGACAGAGAAGATTTTCCATCCAGTGATTCACTCCCCAAGTGACCACAACGGCCAGTGCTGCGCCAATCTGAAGCCAGGAGCCAGGAGCTTCCTCCAGGTCTCCCACATGGATACAGACTCCCAAGGCTTTGGGCCGTCCTCGACTGTTTTCCCAGGCCACAAACACGGAGCTGTATGGGAAGCAGGGCTGCCAGGATTAGAACCTGCGCCTATATGGGATCCCAGCACGTTCAAGGTGAAGACTTAAGTTGCTAGGCCACCACACCGGACCCAACAATTAATAATTTAAAACAAAACATAAGGAATGTTCCAGTAACCACTGATACCTTCTCTAGCCAGATCCTAATATCCTACAACTATATTCCTATAAGAAATGTTATCTTGGGGCCAGACTCCAATACCCTCTGGTGTCCTGGAGGACCAGTGCAGACGTGCGATGGACTAGGCAAGGTCTCAATCCATACTGAACCATGTGTGAGCCATATGTGGGTATGGACAAGCCATGGCTGGGCTGAAACATCCAGAGCAAGAACCAGATTGGGTTGAAGGCCAGTCAGGAAAAGCCACAGTTCCTGCTATGACATGAGGTGAACTGAGTAGGGTTGGCTCATGGACCCACTGGTATGCATGAAACCTGGCACTCAGAGGGGTTCTGATGGAGGAGCCTGGGCAACTCCTCTGGCAGGACACAATCCCTGCAGGTAAGCGCAAGAAGCATGATAGGAAACAGCCCAGAATATGCCATGGAAAGTTACCCACTGGCATACATTTGGCAGGGATCGGGGGCAGACCAGGCAGAATCTGTCCACGTCATCCACTGGCATATCCAAGCACCAGAACACTGTGGGTCGAGCCAGGTTCGGTCACAACAAAGACTAGTGCACAATACGGAATGCTAAGGTGAGGTTACCGGTACCGGAAGGGACTGCAGCGCCCAACCAGCAAGCCTGAGAACAAGGAAGGGAGGGGGCAGGGCCAGCAGGGGAGTAAGGGAGGGTTCCCCTGCTGGACAGTTACTCCCACTGGAGAGCGCAGGCTGGGATGGGGGCAGACCAGACCAAGCAGGGCTACAATACCTGTATGCCTCAGGTGGACTAGATCAGGGAAAAGCCAGGCTGGGCTGATTATTCCTACTGGTGCAAACACAATTAGAGTGGGCAAGGGTTGTTTGGGCTTAGCCACAGCATCAGCTGGAAGAAGCTGGCACTGGGGGCTAGTTCTATCAAGTCAAACCACAGAACTACCTGGAGAGTGCATAATCCGGAGTGGGAGAGGCCTGGGAGGGAAATAGTGGGTTCCCCCCTCTTGGGTTACCACTTCCACGGGAGGGCACGAAAACTAGGAAGCGGCTGGGGTAGAATGGGGTGTGGGACAGACTGGACTAGTCTGCTACACCAACTGGCAAACCAGGGTAGGGGGTGGGCCTGGTGGGGGTTATTGTGAGTCGCTCCAACTAGGCTGCAGCTCCCACTGGTTTATGCGAGGGCCAAGTATGTGCTGGGCAGAACCAGGCTGGACTGCAACACCCATTGGTTCCAGTGGAAGTTGGGAGTGAAAACAGAACCAACCCAGCAATTGCAACCACCAGCTGATCAGGGCAATGGACTGTGCCGGGCCCTGTACTTGCTAGCACATACAAGAATCTGATTTGAGCACACCTCAAAGTTTCTTTGGAGAGCTCCCCATTAAAATGCTGGACTCAGAACCCTAACCAAAAAAAGAGAGAAGACAGAACAGGTCAACCAACCAATTCAGCTATATCTTGGCAATGAAATACGGGGCAAACAGAGACTCTATGGTGGACTATGTCAATCAGTGGATTCTTCAAGGATCTCATAGTGCTTGGAGTGGCAAGATTGGCAGCGATTCATAACTGTTGAAATATCAAAACCACTTGAGCAATAAGCTCGGAGCATACCCTACATCCGGGACCGGGGGAGGGTGGGAAATTGGGTGGGCCTTCTCCCTTAATACCCGCCTTTAAACATGAAGAAAACAATATGGAAAAAATAATAATCATAGCCACGTTCCTATAGCCCTTGAACCTTTTTACCCTAATTAACTATATAAAGATTCTCAAAAAAAAAAAAAAAAAAAAGAATGAAAAAAAAAGAAATGTTATCTTGGACAGGACACAATGGTAAGTGGCTAAATCCTCATTTTGCACGCACCAGGATCCCAAATGGACACTCGTTTGAGTCCCGGCAGCTCCACTTCCCATCCAGCTCCCTTCTGTGGCCTGGGAAAGCAGTCAAGGATGGCCCAAAACCTTGGGACCCTGCACTCAAATGGGAGACCTGGAAGAGGCTCCAGGCTCCTGGCTTTGGATCAGCTCAATTCCAGCCATTGCAGCCACTTGGAGAGTGAACCAGTGGACAGAAGACTTTTCCGTCTCTCCAATAGAAATAAATAAATCTTTTTTAAAAATTGTTATTTCTTTTATTTGCTCAAGTAAAGAGAACACCTAATGAAATGGTTAAAGTCAAATGTGACGGCTGTGAGTTCAGCCTCTGTTCCTTCTTATTCACACAGTTCTATGATGCCTTTTTCAAGCCATTAGTCACCCAGAAACTGCAGCCTGCTTTGTAAATTCAGACTAGCTAAAGAAGCAGAAGGAAAAAATTACTCTAGAAGGAGTCATAGTTCATTATCAATGAAAGTAGGGAACTACAAATGCCAAAACTAAATCCTAATCATTTTATTCTGCTTTAGTCGAAATACTTTTGTCCACTAAATTAGAATAATTGTGAAATGCCAGTGAGATTTTAACCATTCTCAAAATTCTAGGCATTTTAGTAGCACATTTTTTTCTGGCAATAGAAACAGAGAATACAGACAGAAAATAATGATGTGGGGTTGGCATTATGGTGCACCTGGTTAAGCCAACACCTACAATCCTGGCATCCCATATGGGTGCCAGTTCAAGTCCTGACTGCTCCACCTCTGATCCAGTTCTCTGCTAATGGCCTGGGAAAGCAGTGATAGATGGCCCAAGTCCCTTTAGCCCTATACCCACATGGGAGACCCACAGAAGAAGCTCCTGGCTCCCAGCTTCAGATTGGCCCAGCTCTGGTTGTGCTGGCCATTTGGGGATTGAAACAGTGATTAAATATCTCTGTCTCGATCTCTCCCTCTGTAATTCTTTCAAGTAAAAATAAAGCTTTAACAAAAAACAATCACTGTTTCAAATAAATGAATTATCTCAGTCTAGTAGGATACTCACATTGTAATACTCCAGCTCTTGTACAAATGCTGCCACAGATAGGTTTTTTGTGGTTTATTATTTTTTAAGATTGTAGTTATTTTTATTGCAGATTCAGACATACAGAGAGGAGCAGAGACAGAGAGGAAGATCTTCTGTCCGATGATTCTTTCCCCAAGTGAGCACAACAGCTGGTGCTGTGCTGATCCGAAGCCAGGAGCCAGGAACCTCTTCCAGGTATCCCACACAGGTGCAGGGTCCCAAGGCTTTAGGCCATCCTTGACTGCTTTCCCAGGCCACAAGTAGGGAGCTGGATGGGAAGTGGAGCTGCCAGGATTAGAACCAGCACCCAAATGGGATCCTGGTACATTCAAGGCGAGGACTTTAGCCGCTACACTAGCCACCACGCCAGGCCCTGTCACAGACAGGTTTTAAGACATGTCTATAAAATCTGTCTAGGGTGGCAGGGATTTGTTCTGAGGTCAAGATGGCCCCACTCCATATTGGAGCACCTGGGTTCAATGCCTGCTCTCAGTGACTGACACCAGCTTGCTAAGTTGCCGTACTGGCCCTGGGTGGCAGTGGGAATGCACGAGCAACTGAGCTCCTGTCACCCAAACGAGGAATCTGGATGAATACCTAGACCCTGGCCTTGACCCAGCCTAGCACTGACCCAATGCCTATCGAAATGCGGAGTGAATCAGTGTTCTCTTTCTCCGTTTCTCTCAAAGTAAATATATAAAAAATTAATAAGTAAATAAACTCACTCCTATTCCTAAAAGTTACTAGAGTGTAAAATTCAATTTACAAATCCCATGACGTATTTCAAATTGTAAGATACTATCGGGCCCGGCGCGGTAGCGCAAGTGGTTAAGTCCTCGCCTTGCTCACACGGGATCCCATATGGGCGCCAGTTCTAATCCCGGCAGCCCCGCTTCCCATCCAGCTCCCTGCCTGTGGCCTGGGAAAGCAGTCGAGGACGGCCCAAAGCTTTGGGACCCTGCACCCGCGTGGGAGACCCGGAAGAGGCTCCTGGCTTCGGATCGGCATAGCATTGGCCGTTGCGCTCACGGGAGTGAATCATCGGATGGAAGATCTTCCTCTCTGTCTCTCCTCTCTGTATATCCTCCTTTCCAATCAAAAAGTAATAAAAATAAATCTCTAAAAAAAAAAGATACTATCAAGTATTAAAAGAAAAATGCTGTTTGCTCTTCTTCAATGCCCAGACATTGAGTATATCCTTTCAGAGAAAATTCATTTTATTTCTGTTATACTCATAAGCACTCCTTTCAATTATAAAATAGTATCAATTTTTTCACTAATGCTAAAGAAAAACTCTGTGAAGTTTTACCCTTTAATCTTTGGCCTAATTCCAAAACACATATTTACTTTTGACTTATATCAGCTTTTTTTTTCCCCGTTTATAAATTTTCTTTATTAACTTCAAAAGATTGCTACTAAATTGTCTTTTAAAAACAATAAACATAATTTAGACAAATAACCAGTTATGTTCCAGGCAGAGGCAGTTGCGTTTCGTGGTTAAAGTGCAGAATGAAATATTTATTTTAGCTGTGTATCTGAGTGTCAGCCTTGCATTTCATGGCTCTGTGACCCCTAGAAGGCAGCAGCTTTCTCTCGTAGAGAGGTAACCACGTGGAAAGGACAGCAGAGTGTCAGACGCATGGTCAGTGCTGAACACAGATGAGGGATCTTCAGAACATGCGTATTTCCCATCCCCCAAAAAGGACTATGCAAGGATGTTGGAACTTTTTGTGACAAACATTATCTTTTCATTTCATTTTTCCACATATTTTGTGAAGCACTTTCATTTTCTTACTCGGCTAAAGACTGGTAAATATATGCTTTTTAATAGTTATATAACAAGAAACAAGAATTTATAAAGGCAAAACATGAATCATGACATCCTTATACTGTATATTAGATTGTCAACTAGATCCTAGAACAAATTGCAATCCAACGCTCACCTACAATGGGCTATTAAATGAGAGCCTACTGAGAAACAGAAAAGCCACTTACTGTTAACTGCAACCCACTCATTTAGATCTTCCCCCTCAGGAAGCATGACCGCCATGCGGAGATTGCCACTGCCAAGGGTGGCTTCAGCATGCTTTAAGAGTTCATACTGGTGGGACCCCTCTGGGATGTTCTTCTTTGGTTTAAAAGTTTTAGAAGAGCGACTACCACTATGAAGAGAAAAGAAAAGAAAGGCACTTCAGTATTTAAGGTAAGGCTTTCAACGGATGTTACTACACTATATTGCGGGACAAAATAACAGAAATAACCCCAAAGAACCACAAATAAACAGCAAACATTCTTTCAGTCCCCTCAGCATTAGGCCTAAACTTCAACAGCTACATTAGATCACAGGACTGCTGTGCCTGCCGTGTTGCTCAGCAAACTCTCTCTGCATTCACTACTAGAATTCACAGGGAGAAAAAAATAGTTTAACTGTAACCAGCCCAGCTCTTCGAGTGCTCAGGGTAAGTTGGTATCTACAAAAACAAACAAACAAAAAAATTTCAATAAATTTAGCCATTCTATTCTTTTTTGCATCTAATTACATCTCAATAAAAATAAACTCGTTTCCTTCTTTTAAGGAGCATAAAGATATGCTAGAGCAAAATCCTAGAGCAGTGGTGGGGTAGCTGCGGTACAGCAAGTTAAGCTGCCACTTGGGATACATGCATCCCATCGGAGGGTCTGCTGGAGCCCTGGTTCCTCCACCCTGATGTCAGCGTCCTGCTGACTGTCCTGGGAGGTGGCAGGTGAACCACTCAAGAAGATGAGTGCCTGCTTCCCACAAAGGAGAGTCATACCAGTTCCTGCAACAGTGGCTTCAGCCTGGCCCAGCCATGGATGTTGCATGGACCTCAGAGTGAATTAGCACACAGAAGATATCCCTGCCTTTCAAACAAATAAAAATAAGTATTTTTTAAAACACATATTAAACACCTTTAAAAATCCTAGAGCAAGAAGGAAAAAAACATGTTCCTTTATCCATTGTAAAGCATCGGCAATCAACCTTGATACAATGTTATTTTAATGGTTTGGCTACACATTTGTATGGCTGGTTTGCTCAACTTTTTCAATGCTTATATGTATACACACACAAAGACACACACCTGAAACTAAGTTTAGCAATGGTTTTAAGACTAGTAAATAGATGGCATGTTCACTTCATGCCAGTAAATTTTTATTGAACTGTAGCATGTTCTAGTTACCCCATCTCAATCATTCCTTCTCTTCAGATAGGAACAGACTGGAAAGAATCAAAAACGGCTAGATAGCTCAGACCTTAACAGCCTGGGGTTATTAAATTTGTACTATTGAAATGTTCAGGCATTTGAATACACATGAAAAAGTGGAATTCTAATATGAATACATAGTAAGGAGAAAGAACACATTTTGGGTTGAGAATTCTCACTTTTCCCAAGAGATGTTGATTGAACTCTTCCCTCTTACAAAAAAATAAATAAATAAAATAACAACAACACAATAGTTACATTGTCCAAGTTCTTCATTACCCCCTTCTCCCAAGTACACCCTCCACCTCTATCCCAAGATAAAGCCAGCAGTTCTACCCTGGATACATATTATAACCACCTGAGGAACTCTCAGAAAGCACTGAGATAAATGGAGTCATTAATATAAATTAAGACTCTACCAACCAATCCAAACATCCAACTGAAACAATGGGTACATGTAACTCTAAACGGCATTCATCCATGGCATTCTTCTAAGCTCAGTCTCTTGTCAGGAGTGATTACAACGCAGCTGCCATCCCTCCAGGCTCCCCACACCCTCCTTCCCAACCTCTGTTCAATAACTAAGGGATCTCAACATCAATTAGGTGTGTTTGCTAAGACCCACGGTGTGGCTTTTCAGAGTTCCCAGAGCCAAGCAGAGGAAAACTACCAGATCAGTCACACTCTAGGCCCAGAAGCTTGTGGACAATGTTCTCCACGCAATCAGATCATGCTTTAAACACCAAATGTTCTCCCAGCATTTCTAAAATGTAACTGTAGAAAAGTACATCTGTTTATGTAAATATAAAGTATGATTATATATAAATATGACTACCAGGCTTGAGGCGTGTTTTGTCTCCCTCCTCCTTCTCACCTTTTGCAAAATTTAGCGTGAGACTATCTCTCAGCAACATATTCTACAAAACAACATTCTTACTAATTTATGTGTGATCGATTATAAAAATAGCTCCACTGTGACAATGTGCTACAAGCGTTCAGGCAGGGTGTTAAGTGCATTCTCTTGAATTAGCCCACAGCTCCAGCTGATGCAAGAGCTGAGGAAGCGACAAGCCGCTCCAAGCAGAGCTGGCAAAGAAGATGAAGAGAAATGTGGGCTCTGTCCACGCGTGGAAGACTCAGAGACCCCTCGCAGGCCCCCAAACCACTTAGTGATCAAACCAGCTGCACCCAAAGCTTTACATTTCATAATGCTTTCTTAAGTAATGCCTTTCCCAGAGCTGTCTCCCACCAAATTCTCACAAGACCTTACATTTTTGTGGAAGGAAAGAAAAAAGAGTTCAATTTTAGGAAGACCAGATCTGATACATATCAGGTATGTTATCTCAAACAAATTAGCTTTTCAGGACCTCGTGGGCTTTCTTTTTCATTTAGATTTAAATAGTTGAGATGCACAGTTATACAGAGAAACATGAAGAGAGCTCTCCCATTCACACTCCAGGTGGCGACCACAGCCAAGGCTGAACCAAGCACCGGGAGCTTTGTCCAGGTCTCCCACGCAGGTGCCGTAGGTGCCGGGGGCCAAATCCACCCTCCACTACCCTCCCAGGTGTGTTAGCAGACATTGGAAGCGCAGCAGCAGGGACTCAAATCGGAGCCTCATAGGACACCAGACTGCAGGTGGCATCCTCACTCACTAGGCCACAATGCTGTCCACAGACTGATTTTTCTTTAGCAATGAAAACCCAACACACACCAACAAAACACAAACACTTCCTGTGTCATGGAACAGCTGCTAGGGCAGAGGACTGTAGTTTGTGTCTAATGCATCCTTTAACACAATAGATACAATGCATTGTGTAGCTACAATTTTCTGGAAAGGTTGAATTTAGGCATTGTTCTTCAGATCTCCAAACTCTGGGGTTTTCAAGATATGTAATTGCTGCCTGGGTCACTCATGACTAAGACTAGGTTGAGTGTAGGTGCAAAGTGAATTTTCGGGTATTCTCAGTGACAGTGTCATGAAAGATATAAGCAGGCAAGGGGACCAAGACCTAGTGGTTTGATGGAAGTGTCCAGAAGATAATTTTAGTAAGACAGATGCAACAGCTCAATTATGAATACAGAGATGGGATATTAGTATAGAACATCACTGATCACCATATACTAGCCCACACCGAAGCTATGGATGGGGGCCTCTTTGGCAGTGTTGGGTACCATTGCCCGACTGAGTGTTGGAGTTGTGGAGTGGTCACATTTGGCAGGATCAAGACACTCTCCAGCACACAAGAGAACTTGGTCTGGGGGTAGGCTCTGTGGGGTTGTGTGGGCCCAACCCTTTGGAATACAAGTCCCCCGGGTTAGTTCCCAAGCTGGGGTTGCAATGGTCTAAGCTAGGTGTGACCACGCCATCTGCCAGCACTCATGGGTAAAGGAATCCACAACAGTCAGGGTAGGTCAAGGCAGCAGCACCCAAATGTGCATCTTTAAACAGGATGTGGGGTGGGCCGGGCTGCCACTGGAAGGGGACAGAAGGGGCAGGGCTGAACAAACCTTAACTCACAAGTAACAATAGAAATCAGGTTGGAGCACAGCTCATGCCAGGTAGGTCCTTGCACATACTGATCTGTGTGAGGCAGAGGCACTACGCCACAGCATCCAAGGGGCCACGACAAGTGAGGGGCTCTGCCAAGCGGAGACAGAACAACCACCGGCCTACACCTGTTCTATGGCAGGGCAGAGGCCCGGTTGGGGAAATAACAGGACACCCTAGCTGGGTTGAGTTTCCCACCAAGGAGCGCATGGGCTGGAACTGAGGCTACATTCTGATCAGGATACGATCGTAATCTCACTTGGCACAATTGTGGACTGGGATGGGAAGCACCAAGCCAGGCCAAATTCCAACACCATATGGTGCTCTGGAGGACCGGGGAGGGTTGTGTGACAGACTAGGTTAGGTCTCAGCCCTTACTGAACCATGTGTGAGCTTGGTAGGGGTATGGAAGAGCCATGGCTGGGTTGAAATATCCAACAACAAGAACCAGCTTGGGTAGGAGGCCAGGCAGGAAAAGCCACTGTTCCTCCTAGGATAGCAGGCGAACTGAGTAGTGCTGGCTCATGGACCCACTGGTATGCGCAAAAACTGGCATTGGGACAGGTTCTGGTGGAGGAGCCCGGGCAACTTCTCTGGCAGGACACAGTCCCATGCAGGTAAGTGCAAGAAGCACAACAGGGAACAACCCAAAACAGGCAATGAAAATTATCCCACTGGCATACACATGGCATGGGTTGGGGGCAGACCAGCCTGAATCTGTTCACATTACCTTCTGGTGAATCCGAGCACCAGAACAGAGTGTGGGTCGAGCCAGGTTCGGTTGCAACACATACCAGTACACAACAAGTAATGCCAAGGTGAGATGAGCCGTACCAGATGTGGCTGCAGCACACAACCAGCACATGTGACAATCAGGGAGGAGGCAAAGCCAACAGGGGAACGTGGGCACCCCTGCTGGATAACTACTTCCATTGGAAAGTGTGAATACGGATGGGGGCAGTTCAGACTAGGCAGGGCTATAGCACCTGTGGGCCTCACGGTGAGCTGACTGTTCTGACTGGTGCAAGTTAAAATTAGAGTGGGTTGAGGGGTGTTTGGGCTTAGCCACAGCGTTAGCTGGCAGAGGCTGGTACTAGGAGCCAATTCTGACAAGTCAAATGCCAAAACTACCTGGAGACTGCATACTCTGGGAGTGGGTGTGGCCTAGCAGGGAAATAGTGGGCACCTCCCTCAGGGTTACCACCCTCACTGGACAGCACGAAACCCAGGCTAGGAACAGGGGTGGCTTGACAGAAAGGCACCTGCCAGTGGGTGTATGGGCTGGATAATAGGTTGGTTGGGTTAAACCAGGCTTCAATGTCCATTGACGTGTGCGAGAGCTACTTGGGATGTGGGACAGACTGGACAAGCCTGCAGTGCATACTGG